CTGGTATAAATAAACCTTTCTAGGGTTCATCTCTGGTAACGCAATTGTTGCACTCCAAACTCTCTTGCCTACTGCTTGAGTCTTATTATTTCTTATTAACCTGACTATCGGAGAATCTTGGAACGGTACCCCCTCGGCCTGATCATGGACTAAACAACTCCCAACGGATATGGATTAACAGAGCAGTGGTGTCACCATTATCCTGTACTGGAGCGATGGTGAAGTTCGAACGACTTTACCGAGATTGACCATACTTATTCTGCAAGATGAGAAAAAATCCAACATGGAATTAACCAGGTTTCTTATATTCTTGGAGTTCCTACAATTAATACAAGATTTTATCCTAAAAATGTCTCTCTCTCCCAACTGGTATAAATAAACTCTTTTAGGGTTCATCTCTGGTAACGCAATTGTCGCACTCTAAACTCTCTTGCCTATTGCTTGAGTCTTATTATTGCTTACTCACTTGACCATCGGAGAATCTTGGAACAATACACCCCCTCCCCTTCGGGTCTCTAGCTTGCTCACTATTGTTTGCTCTTTTACAGGTTACTCATATTTGTGCCCATTGATGAGCCAATATTATACTATATATTTTATCCTAATCTTAGTATTAATTGATTATTTATTTTGGTAGAATTTTGATACTTTAAATTATATTTCCAATGTAGGACATTTGATTTCCTTTTCAGCAAAAAGAGATCAAACAGATGAATTTTGGAGTGATTCCAATTGGAGGATGTTCGTGAGTCTTCCAAGAGATTGTATCAAAGTTTTAGGTTTTTCTACTACTTCGTTTGACCGTGGCGATGAAATAAAGGCCCAGCACGCAGCTTTCCTAAATTGACGTTTCTAGATGTTTTGGGTATTTTGGAGGTCAAGATGGCATATTTTGAGGAAGATTCATTCTAAGGATTTTTAGGGACATCTCAAGCTCTAAAAAAGACATTTTGAGACCAAATTGGAGTTGATTTGGTCGGTCAAAAGTCTGATTTTCTAAGAAGTTAGAATTTCAGTTCAAATAGGAAACCTTTTATTTCTTAGTTCTCTTATTCTATTATGTTTCCTTGTTTTTAGAAGACATTTTTGAGGTAGGATTTTATTTTGTAGTAGTATAAATATGGATATTGAGCATTAGAGAAGAAGACATTATTTTGGAGAACTTCAGACTCTTTACCTACAAGGTGTTTTCAATCCTTTTTCTAGTTAATATATTTTCTTTAGTTTTTATTATGATTGTTTGTAACTAGTCCTTTTGCTAGTGAGAAGCCACAAGCCTTAGCATGAATATGTGATTTTATTAATTTTATTATGAATGGATGCATGCTTGCTTTGAATTATTAATCACCGCGATTAAACTATTTACTTTTTTTAGTGATTCACGACCATTAGGGTTTTTAGACAAGTAAATTGGTGCAATTTCTGTTGGAACATCACCCTGAAGAGGGCTTCTTGTAATTAGTAATTGTAAGTTCACTTTAGGTGAACATCACGCTTTTAAGGGTTGCATGGTTTTTCAAAGGGTTTTTCACAAAGCTTAATGAGTCTTGCATGTTTATATTTGATCTGAACATCACATACGAGTTGCATGTTAGATATACGTTTTCGCTTGAACATCACAAAGAAATTATGTATTAGAAAAGCCTAACCTTTAATGGATGTATGTAGAAATTCATAAATAATTGGTAAAATTGCATAGGAATGTTAATGGTAATAGCAGAACCCTAGTGTTTAAATTGTTTTCCAAAACCTTTGTCTTTTTCTTTCTTTACTTTGTCAATTATTTAATTGTTTTTATTTAAATTCGTTTTTATTATTTTAAATTCTAAAATCAACCTTTTCGAAACTTTGTTCTAAATAATTAGCTAAGGATTAATTTAAATACAAATTATTTATTCAATCCTTGTGAAAAATGACATTACTTAGGCTGTTATACCATCATAACCTTATACTCTTACAAGTATTTTTAAGTATTTTTATTCGTACTTTTACAGATGGTAAAATTTTTATCATCCATCTACACCAACATCATATCCTTAGTCCTGCTTAGCTTTCGCGACTTCCCATGTTGGTGACCCGGGTTGGTGACCCGGGTAGACTTGAAATTTTCTCATCATTTCAGGGCAAATTTGGGGTTGAGTTTCTTTGAATTGTTGTCGAATCCGGATTTGAGCATCCTTCTGACGGAAAAATCTTTGACGAATGAAACAAAAAAAAAAAAAAAAAAAAAAAATTGAAATATGAGTGTGTGAGAGAGAGATGAGACAAAAAGAATCGTAAGGCATAGATAGAATGTGAGAGAGGTTGGGTTGCTGTGTGAGGCACGCGGGGTTAGCTAGGTAAAGGATTTGAGTTTTTTTTTCTTTTTACCCCACTATTTCAGTTTTGAAGTTTTTTTTTAAAGGGTTTGAAGGTGTTTAGACTTTGTGTAATGAGCTATGATACACTGACACATTTAATTTGGACAATACTTGTGTAATGAGCTATGATACATTGACACATTTAATTTGTACAAGGGTGAGTAGATACCTACACCTTCTCAAGATTTGATAATTTCTTGCATGATCCGTTAGGTTTTGGGTCAACCTGCTAACGAATCAAGTTGTTATTAGGTTTTTCGTTATGACCCGCTAACGAGTTGAATTGCTATCGGTTCATCCATTCAGAACCCGATACGATATCATTTTTCAGATCTAGACATTAGGTATGACAATTTATTGCATAATCCGTTAACTCGACACGAAATGGCCCGAAGCGTTGAATCGGGTCGTTATTGAGTCATCTCTTAAGAACCCGTTAAGATAACGAGTTTTACATAAAACAAATCGTTAAGATAACGATTATGACACGAAAAGAAGTAGAATATCGTTGACTTTTCAAAATTCTTAGACGACAATCGGATGGTGAAATTGCAAGAATGTTTTATACGGGCGGGCTACCTTTTCATTACGTGCCTTTAGTCTTTCTTGTACTAAAACAGTTCCGGGTTATGTTCCTCCCAGCTACAACTTGTTGGGGACCACTCTTCCAAAAAGAAATATATATATATATATATATATATCGGGTCAGATGCACAAAGAAGCTCTAGTTAATATTATGCTAGCTTGTGAAAGTAGGCCAATGTTCTTGAGGGCGGTAAATCGTTAGCACAAGGAAAAATCTTCATTGCCCACTTGCTTATTGAGTCAATTCGGGAAATTATCGTCAAAATATGGTCCAAGTAGTCACCGACAATGCTCCGGTTTGCAAGGTGGCGGGACGTCTTGTTGAGACAATACTTATTGTCCATACTCTCAACCATTCTTTGAAGAACCTATATGTACTTATTTCATCTGCAATAATTTAAGAAGATTATGAGCAATGTAGCTGGATTACAACAACAACTAATGAGGTATTAGGCGGCTGGTCACCGTCTCGATTAATGCCTAGGCGTTTGAAAATTAAGAAAATGCGCCTAGACCAGCTAAGGCGACGCCTAAACCACCTAGGCACTCCACCTAGCTCGCTAGGTTGCAACTCACTTAGACAGAAAATCGATAACTTTCAATTTGCATCTAATTTTTTTCAATAAATTGTAAGAGACTTATTAAATACTTAAATGAGCACGCACCATATGCTTGTTCCCCATATTTCATTATGTTCCAATACTTCATAATACATGTCACTCTATTTTGTAGTTTATGATGAAATTATATATATTTTAAGTATAAACAGACACTTATTTACAAGAAATATAGTGGATTTACTTAAATCCGCCTAGTCCGTCTAGACGTCTGCCTAGACCCCGCCTAGGCGCTAGGTCACAGCTCACCGCCCGACTAGTGCCTAGCGTCCTTTAGAACCTTGTCCATAATATGAGGTTGTCCATGGATAATTGTAAGGTGAAGTTGCTTTCTAGACGCGCTTGACTTTTATAATTGTGATGCTTAAAAGATTTAAACAAGGTTAAGAGCGCGTAGTGATGAATGCAGAATAAGATATGTATAAAAAAGATGATGTGGAAAAAGATAAAAGAAAAAAGTGTTGGATGAACACCTTTGGGCCGAAGTTGATTACAACTGAGCTTCACTTCTGCAATATGTGATATGCTTGACATGGATAAGCCTTGTCTTCACTTAATTTATGAGTTATAGATGCTATGATAGAGAAAGTGAAGGTGAGTATCGAAAAGAGCGCAAGCAACAATATCAAGTGTCAAAGTTCCTTGATGCTGTGTATACAATTTTGATTAAGCAAGGGACCAAGAGTAGCACGCCACTCTATTTTTTGGCACACTCTAATTCTATGTAAGTTCTCTAAACTCTAAATTCTGTACATTTTACATCGTAAATTTAAGTTTGATTGCATCATTATAAGCTTATATTTTTTTTTCTCATTCACTTTTAGGTATTTATTGCACAAGTTGGCTTGAAGAGGCTCCTAATTGTAGTGGGTTGTTCATGGGAGCTTCCACACCAAACAAGCCATAGCCTTGAAACTTATAGGTTATCCTTCATCCTCCTCATGTTGTAAAAGAAATTGGAGCACATACAAATTATACACTCTTCGAGGAGGGGCAAAATCACACTACAAAGAGTGGAAATTTAATATATGCACACAAACCTTCGTAAACCATCAAGGAGAGAGCCATGAATATCGAGAATGGAGAAGTGCTTAAGATTGCAAATCTCACTCTTGATGAACTGGACTTCGAGGCCGTATTATTTACTTGTGAAGATTACTATGATAGTCATCTTGAATTAAGTTAGAAATGAATCTTTCTCTTTTTGTGATTTAATATATTTTTGAAATATTAGTGTATGAAATATATTTTTGAACATATATATTATTATAATTGCCGTATCGTTGTTTACAAAATATCACCGTAATGTATTGTACCAAATATCAATGCAACATAAGTAATGGAAAAATGTGGGCTAGCAGAAAAAAAGAATTCAAGATTTCTTCCTATTATATTTTGACAATTTTTATAAGCAGTATCAAATTCATTTTCGAAAGAATTGCACAGACACAACAATATATAGAAGAAAATTGGGTCACGCATTTGTGTTACATTGTATGAATTGCCACCTTCACTCCCGTCTTTGAAAAATCATCCATTTTTTTCCCACCACTCAAGTTTTGTGTTTCCCTTCTTCAGCTCCAAGAGCCATCCAATTTAAAAAGGACAACTTTCTTTCCTGGCTATTGGCTCCTAATTTAGTTGCATTGGCTTGTTTCCATTGTCCACGTCTAGGCTCTCTTGCTAGCCTCGCTGTTTTCTGAGCTGCGCCCGCACTTCAGACAAAGCACGGGTTACCTCCTCATCCTCTGGTGTTTCCTTTATCAAAATCTCATAGTCTTCTATTGAAGCTTCCCATTTTTCCAACTGCATGGTACATTATCATATAAGCATTATAACTCAGAAATAACATAATGAAAGAGCAACAACATTAACAACTTGAAAATTATTTTATCGGAACAAAGTGAATATATTAATGAGTAGTATGTTCACCTTGGCATTGCAATCTGCTCTTCTTAATCTAGCCTTGTTGTAAGATGGGCGCACATTAAGGGCAGCTGTACAGTCCTCGATTGCTTTATCTAATTGGCCAAGTTTTGAACGACAAGCAGCACGGTTGCATAATAACACCGAGTTATAAGGATCGTGCTCAAGTCCCTCCCCATATGCAACAGATGCCTCGGAGAACCTTGCTGTCTTGAAAAGCTCGTTGCCTTTTGATCGAGCTACTACAACAACTCGAGCCTTCCTCATAACCATGTTTGCTTCCCTGTTGTTTGAGTCAAGCCGTGATGCTTGTTGAGCTGCCTTTAATGCATCATCCAATCTGCCAAACCATTGCAAAACAAATAAAACAACTATTTGACCAAATTAAGAAAAAGGTTTAATGTATGTGTTTCAAATATCATTTCTGTTTTGTTAATTTGTTTTTTAGGAATATTATTCCATCTGAGGCTGCATAAGGATTAGCATAATCGTGACTGAAATAGCTACTATATAAAGTTATATAACACACTACCTGCCAGCAACCATGTCCACCTGAGCTCGTGTTGCTAACAAATTCGCGTTACCAATAGGACCTAAGAATTTAGTGCAGGCATCAACCTCAAAATTTGGACCGCTGGATAATGCTTCATCTGCTTCCTGGTGCCTATTGAGCTTCAACAAGGCCTCCGCTTGCAAAGCATATATCTTAGTAGAGTTAAAAAAAGGGATTCACCATTAGCTAATACACAAAACAGAAAGAAAAAAAAATCTACTTTCGATAAAAGCTTTTGAGAATCTCATTTTCAGGTAAAACTGAGAAACAAATTCTTATAGACTTATTCATAGGACATCTACTGGAGAATAAGAGAGAGGCAATTATGATAACAATGAGACTTGAATTCGATAATTTAATGGCTGACCTGTGGCGCTGAATCTGCACCCGCTAATATAGTGCTTTGAGATTCCTTTATGAGGGTGTTCCAATCTCTTAACCTACGAGCCTCAGTGCACATGTTCAGACGAGCCTGAAGAGATTTTACTTTAGCAATGTCCTCTTGATCAGCCTCTGGTCCAGCATGCTTGTAGTGATACAAAGCTTTTTCTGCTTCCCCTAATCTATATGCACATAACACATTAATTTTAAGAATTAGGTGTAACAGAATTAAAGACGATGTTGCAACTACGAAAGGAAATTAACGTGTGGAACTTTATGTTGTACCTAAGATATAATGTTGCCAGACGATGATGAGCCCTATGATAGTGGGGTTCAATCCGAATGGCCTCTCTGCACTCAAAAACTGCGTCAAGAATTCTACCTAGAGCGGTTAAAGCAGCACTTTTGTTGCTCCTATAAGAAGCCTTATTGGGGTCAATAGAAATTGCAGCATCATACAACGCCAATGCTTCCGCAAATCTACCATTCTTGTAATCTTCATTTCCCATGATCTTCAATGTTTCAGGGTCCATTCTAGTCGACAATGCGCGACATAAGGAAGCAGGTGGTTCCGGCTCACCCTGTCTTTTCTCTTCCCTAACAGTATTAGTCTTCCCCACTTTTACCTGGCTTGGCATTGGGACTTCCTCTCTAGCAGTTTTTGGAAGATAATCAAGAACATTATACGGGTTTGCATTTCCTCCGCCGCCTCTACCACCGCCGGCCCCAGGTTGTCTCAAATTACCCAAATTTCCGAAAAGCATAACATTGCTAGATGAAGCCCTTACAAGGGAACTGCTCCCTTTCGATTTTTGATGATCAGCAATCATGCTATCAAGCTCACCGGATATGCCAAGTTTCTCCTTTGGAACCCTTTTGCCTTGGTTCACATAACCTTGGCTTGGCACCATTTTTTGTTGATATTGCTGCCGCTGTTGTTGTTGTTGTTGTTGTTGCTGCTGCTGCTGCTGCTGCTGCTGTTGTTGTTGTTGTATAGGGGGTGCCCTATTACTATATTGGGAAGGCTTCGTGACCGGTTTGGATGAATCTGATGATACGTTGCTAGATGAATCAAGGAAGGCAGCCTCATCGGAGCCACCGCGACGCCGTTTGGAATTAGGAGTGCTTGGTGTTTTCACTAACGTGGCACTGTTGTTGTTGGCTACAGGAAGAGAACCCGTAGAAGTTGTTCTTCTGGGCCAGATACTATTCCGCCCGAAAACTGCACTCAGTATGCCGCAACCTGATTTCTTCTCCGGCGACTCTCCCATTTTTTATTAATTGTTCTCTCTCTCCCTGATCAAATTTTGTGCATGGTGTGAGGTAACAAAACAAAGGAAGAACATCAAGTGCGTAAAAAATAAAATTTTATTTTTGGAGGAAAGAAAAATTAAAAAAGAATGAAAAAAATGAGGGAGGACCCAGGAGATTATGTGCATGGCTTCCTGGAACTGCCCATGGATTTAGAAACAATGCCTCCTTGATTTCTTTCAGCTTTGTGCAAGAGAGATGAAATTGGATTGCATCATTAATTAATTAAAAATGAGAATAAATGCCCGGAAAAGAGAATAACAGTTTACGGGCTTATTGTTTTATATAATAAAATTGAGAAATTAAAAAAATAAAATAAAATAAAAAACTGTCATAGCTGGGGTTGAATCTTTTTCTGGTTTTAATTTTTTTGAGTTTCTGATTCTCGATTTGTTTTTGGTTATTTTTCTTTTTCTTCACATTTTCTTTTTCTTTTCTTTTTTTCTGGTGTGAGTGTGGTGCAGAGGTGGAAGCTGAAGACCCGGTCTTGCATTAAGCGACCATCTCTAGATTTTTAGAAATGAAAGCAACTCAGGCTGACTCACCACAACCGAATGTCAACCTGTCATTCCCTTTCTTTTCTTTGAGTTTGAGGAGGGCACGTCTTTGTTGGTTTCCAACATCCCACGTATATGAGGTCAGTCCGTTACACCCACCTAAACATAAGTGTGTGTGTGTGTATGATGTAGTGTGCATGTTTTTTTGCATTCAAATTCGAATTTTTTTTTCCATAAATGGAAGCAGTTAATATTACTAACAAAAAGATTAACAATTGTATAAATACTTGTTTGTAGGAAAAAACAACAAACATAGATGATGTGAAATTATGACTAAACAACCGAGGAAATGAACGTATGGGCTCACAAAACAAAACAACAACAACAACAACAAAGCCTTTTCCCACTAAGTGGGGTCGGCTATATGAATCCTAGAACGTCATTGCGCTCAGTTCTATGTCATGTCTTTCGTTAGATCCAAGTACTCTAAGTCTTTTCTTAGAGTCTCTTCAAAAGTTTTCATAGGTCTTCCTCTACTCCTTTGGCCCTAGACCTCTATCTCGTAGTCTCATCTTCTAATCGGAGCGTCAGTAGGTGTCCCATTCTGACTCGGGCCCCCACCACATCCCGGGCTCGACTCCACCATAGCACGATATTTTCCGCTTTAGGCCCCGACTACGCCCTCATGATTTTGTTTTTAGGAACTCACACGAAAACTTCCCAGTGGGTCACCCATCATGGGATTGCTCTCGCGCGAACTTGCTTAACTTCGGAGTTCCGATGGAACCCAAAGCCAGTGAACTTCCAAAAGGCCTCTTGCTAGGTAGAGATGAGAATATACATATAAGGCTTATAGGATCCCCACCCCTGGACAATGTGGGATCTTACAATCTACCCCCCTTAGAGGCCCGACATGCTCGTCGGCACACTTTCGACCAGGGATTGGTTCTGATACCAAATTGTCACATCCCGACTTGAGCCTCCACCACATCCCTGGCTCGACTCCGCTGTAACCTGATATTGTCCGCTTTGGGCCCTGACCACACCCTCACAGTTTTGTTTCTGGGAACTCACACGAGAACTTTCTAGTGGGTCGCCCATCGTGGGATTGCTCTCGCGCGAACTCGCTTAACTTCGAAGTTCCGACGGAACCCGGAGCCAGTGAGCTCCCTAAATGCCTCATGCTAGGTAGAGATGAGAATATACATATAAGGCTTACAGGATCCTCACCCTTGGGCAATGTGGGATCTTACAGTAGGACTTCGTTGCATATGTCCAAACCACCGTAACCGATTTTCTCTCATCTTTCCTTCAATTTTGGCTACTCCTACTTTACCTCGGATATCCTCATTCCTAATCTTATCCTTTCTCGTGTGCCCACACATCCAACGAAGCATCCTCATCTCCGCTACACCCATTTTAGTGTTGATGCTTCACCGCCTAGCATTCTATACCATACAGCATCGCCGACCTTATTGCCGTTATATAAAATTTTTCCTTGAGCTTTAATGGAAAACGACGGTCACACAACACGCCAGATGCACTCTTACACTTCATCCATCCAGCTTGTATTCTATGGTTAAGGTCTTCATCTAATTCTCCGTTCTTTTGCAAGATAGATCCTAGGTAGCAAAAGTGGTCACTCTTTGGTACTTCCTAGTCTCTAATCTTTACCCCTAACTCATTTGAGCCTCCATTTTCACTGAACTTGCCCTCCATATATTCTGTATTTGACCGATTTAGGCAAAGACCTTTAGATTCCAACACTTCTCTCCAAAGGTTAAGCTTCGCATTTACCCCTTCCTGAGTTTCATCTATTAACACTATATCGTCTACGAAAAGTATACACCAAGGAATATCATCTTGAATATGTCCCGTTAACTTATCCATTACCAATACAAAAAGGTAAGGACTTAAAGATGAGTCTTGATATAACCCTGCAGTTTTTGTTCTATCATACATATCCTTTATAGCTTGGATATAAGCTACTCGTACTCCTTTCTTCTCTAAAATCCTCCAAAGAATGTCTCTTGGGACCTTATCATACGCTTTTTCCAAATCTATAATGATCATGTGTAAATCCTTTTTCATATCTCTATATCTTTCCATGAATCTTCGTAAGAGATAGATTGCCTCCATGGTTGAGCGCCCTAGCATGAACCCGAATTGGTTGTCCGAGACCCGTGTCTCTTGTCTCAGTCTATATGCTCAATGACTTTCTCCCACAGCTTCATTGTATGACTCATTAGCTTGATACCCCTATAATTCATGCAGTTTTGTATGTCACCCTTATTCTTGTAAATAGGCACCAAAGTGCTCTTTCGCCACTCATTTGGCATCTTCTTTGTTTTCAAAATCCTATTGAAAAGGTCTGTGAGCCATGCTATATCCGTCTATCCCAAGAATTTCCACACTTCGATCGGTATATCATCTAGGCCCACTGCTTTTCTATGCTTCATCTTTTTCAAAGCTACAACCACTTTTTCCTTTCTAATTCGGCGGTAAAATGAGTAGTTTCTATACTCTTCTGAGTTACTCAATTCCCCCAAAGAAGTACTCCATTCATGTCTGCCATTGAAAAGATTATGAAAATAACCTCTCCATCTGTCTTTGACCGCGTTCTCTATAGCAAGAACCTTTCCATTCTCATCCTTGATGCACCTCACTTGGTTTAGGTCCCTTATCTTCTTTTCCCTTGCTCTAGCTAGTTTATAGATATCCAACTCTCCTTATTTGGTATCTAGTCGCTTATACATATCGTCAAAAACCGCTAGCATAGCTTTTCTCATAGCTTTCTTCGCTTCCTGCTTCGCTATTCTATACCTTTCACCGTTTCCATCTGTCATATCCTTGTATAAGGCTTTACAACATTCCTTGTTAGCCTTAACCTTTGTTTGTACCTCTTCATTCCACCACCAAGATTCCTTTTGGTGTAGAGCAAAGCCCTTAGACTCTCCTAATACCCTTTTTGCTACTTTTCGAATACAACTAGCCATGGAATCCCACATTTGGCTAGCTTCCCTTCTCTATCCCACACACATTAGCTGATTACTTTCTCTTGAAAATGACTTGTTTTTCTCCTTTTGGATTCCACCATCTAGTCCTTGGGTACTTTGAGGACTAGATGGTGGAACCAAATAAATTGTTTTTTTTGGTCTAAGAGGATTAAAGAAGATCAAGCAAACCTAGTTAAAAATGGTGCTGCATTTCAAATTGAAATAAGGCATGTGGTGTTGTGATTAAAGAATTATTCTTCAACTCAATCTAAATTTGCAGGTAAATGAACACAAGTTGGAGTCAATATTGATAAGGTTACGTTTGGTTGGCAGGATAGGATTTGTATTTTTAATAGACTAGGCTAGTGGGAGTATTATCTAGTGTTTAACGAATATTGAATTTTCAGGATTCAAAAAGATTATAGAAAGCTTCATTTTAATCCTTAAAAAATATGAGTTTTAGACTATAACCTTGTGTAAGATTATTCAATTTTAGATCCTGATACATTTAATCATCTCATTTACTAATAATTTTTTATGCTTTATTTCTTCCCTTTTTTCCTATTTTTAATGTATGTGGTGTTGTGATTTTGTACACTACAACTTTTGGATTGATTGGGTGATTTTACAGAAGAAAATTGTGTGTCAGTTCTAGTTGGCCAGTTTTTACCCAACAGCAAGGAAGTGCAGATTAAGTTGAAATTTGAAAATCAAAACAACCTTACATATTTTGTGTGTGTGATGTTGTGATTTAAATTTGGATAATTTTGAGGTTAATTAAGAATTGGATAATCTGGGGGTCTTAGTGGCAAGGCAAATTTTAGGTGCATATATCATTAAATGGAGGACTTGAATCAAAGTTTTAAACCTATTAAGGTTTGAGTCTATAATATATGATGACGAGAGACTGAAAACTAAGTGATGTGTTAGAAGGTGGTTCGCGTTGGGTTATCGGCGATGGCGAGTCGATTCAGTTATGGAAGGATCGTTGGATTCCTCAGCCAAATACTTTTAGGATCATAACACTAGCCCCTCCCTCTCTTGGTGACGTGAGGGTTAAGAAGTTAATTGTGCCCGGAACTAGACGTTGGCATAATGATCTGTTACACCAGTTTTTTTTACCGAGGAGGAGGTTCATTATATAGCTGATCTATTCCATTTAGTTATCGTAGGCAGCCTGATCATTTGATGTGGCATTATGATAAGAAGGGAGTTTTTTCGGTGAAAAGTGTCTACAAGGTGGCACGTTCGTGCTTTGCACCAACAGCATTCTAGGCATCATCGTCGTCGTTAACTGGGGGTGTTTACCGCGAGCTATGGCAAACTATTTGGAGAGCACGCATTCCGCTAAAGTCAAGGTTTGTGGGTGGCGTATCTGCTGTGATATTCTTCCCACTAGATCTAGTTTAAATAAGAAAGACGTGAGGGTAGAAGAGTCTTGCCCTCACTATGATGAGGCACACAAAACCGACAGCCATGCTCTGGGGGCTGCAGTTTTTCCCGAGCAGTGTGGGTTGCTGCTCTCGTGGGGTTGGTGAAGTGCTTCATTATCATAACTCAGTTAAGGAATTGTTCACTCGTGCGTTGGAGGAAACCCAAGTGGAGTTTGGTGCGATTTTAATGCTTGTGTGCGTGTTATTAACGGATCAGAATAGCTTGGCATGGGAAGGGCAACTAACTGACAGTACTATTTGGTGTAGCAAAAACTTACGTGGCTTCAGAAATTCTGTCTCTGCAACCTGTTTGGGTTAATATTTGAACCTTGGGCTACAAGTGTGTGGAAGCCCAAAGATGCCGATTAAAAGAAGACTTGCCCGAAGCCCAGCATCAAGCCCAGAGACGAGTTGGCGCCTTCCCATTAATGCATAGGCCATGTGCT